TTTACTCCATCCACATCATTAAGGTTGAATGTATTTTGAGGAGGCAGCTCTTCCCTAGTCGTATTTTGAGTGCCTTCCAACCTGAGGGGCTCATCTTCTAACACTATATCAGACAATGTTGCACAGCTATCCATAAGCTTTTCACTGGCCAGATTTTTCAGAAGTGGATCACCACGTCCCTTCCAGACCATCTCAGTCTAGAAGCTCTGCTGATAATGCATGACATAGAGTTATTATTTTTGTTAAACATGGCCTCATACAAAATTCTTAAAAAAGCCAACCTGTTCAAACCCTCTGGCTCTACAAAACAAACAATAAATACGCTTTCTTTTAGGACCTAGACGGCAAATCCAGTGTCCACTATCCTTGAACTTGCCATTTGTTCTCTTCAACATTGCTGTTTATGGTTTAAACTAATATAAAGTTTTTCTCTCATTCATTCATTCAGGAAATAGGCTCCCTGACCACAATGAGGAGTCCTGGTGGCACAGTGGTTAAGAGCTTGGCTGCTAACCAAAAGGTCAGCAGTTAAAATCCACCAGCCGCTCTTTGGAGACCCTATGGGGCAGTTCTACTCTCATATAGGGTCACTGTGAGTCAGAATCGACTCAGTAGCAACGGGTTTTGTTTTGTTTGTTTGATTTTTGACCACAATGAGGAGAAACACTGTGTTGAAGGAAGACAGTAAGGGGTCTGTTGCTTGGCTCCTTGTGGAAGGTGATGTGGCTCGATCTAGGGTTGTAGCAGTGAGGATGGAACAAAGTGGACAGGTGTGTACAAGAGTTTTTTCAGTGTAAATGTCAGAGACTGATGATGGATTGAGTATGTGGATGGGAGGACAGGAGTCAATGATGATGGTGCTTGAGTTTATGGCTTGAGCAACTGGGAATGCCAGTCATGGAGAGAGAGGAAGATAGAAAGGGAACAGGTGGAGGTGGGGTGGGGTGATGATGAGCTCAGCTGGGAACATATTATGTTTGAGAAGCTTATGGATCATCCAAGTAGAGATGAAAGTAATTTGGCAGTATGTGTCAACTGTCATAAAAATGCTTCCAATTCTAGGCATCTCTTTTTAGATAGTAACATTAAAGAATATGCACAGAGATGGTCTTTGCAATATTATTTATAACATCAAAAAATTGGAAGCAACTTACATGTCCTCCTCTGAAATAATTGCTTAATAAATCATGTGCATTTAAAAAATTACATGACCGTGCAACTATAATTACAAAAAGTGTACAGTATGGAAAATGCTTATGATGTGTTAAGTGAAAAGGCAGGATACAAAAATTTATTTTAGAGATGTTGCAATTAGATTAAAATATATGCATTTGAAAATATTCTACAAGCTACACTGAAAAATGAAAATAGTTATCTCAGTAATATAAATACATTCTGTTTTTATATCCTAAGTTGTCTGCAGTGTTTTTATATTACTTTTATAATTTAAGAAAGAAAATACAGCATTTCAAAGCACCTAAACCTCTTATGTCCATTTACATTAATTTAGAATGAATTAATTTAACAGTGTTACCAATTACAAATGCAAATCAATGTTATGTTTAAGCAAAAGGGCTGTTTACCGTTGTAAGAAATATTTATTTTATTTTTGTATTTTCAAACTAAAAATAAAAATTATATTTTACAGTTATCAAGAAAAATATGGTATTGGCTAGGTAGTTATTAAGGGGATAGAAATTGGCTTTATGCAAATCCTAAAAATAATAACTGGTTTTAAATGGAATATGTTTATTTTCATTGATCATCTAAACTTTACTAGTGATTTCTCATATCTACTTTTGTTTTGAATTTTTATTTTTTAAATTGATCTTTAATTTTAGTCCATTATATAGTATTTATTTCCCTAAGATAGCATAGTTTTTAAAATATTCTTTCAAATGAATCTTAAGTCGTAATATAAATTTGATATAAGGAACAACCAAATGAGTATGTGGACAAAGTTGGGGATGAATTCATACTTACATTTACATAACTTTGAATTTTTATACTACACTTCCATTTTGTTTTTTTTTAATAGGAACTTTATTAAGATATAATTTATATACTGTACAATTCACCTATTGAAGGTGTACAGTGGTTTTTAATATATTTAAAGAGTTGTGTAACAAAAACTGCAATCAATTTTAGAACATTTTCATCATCCCAAATGCCCCTTTTCTCTGTTCTCATTAACAGTCACTCCACTCACCCTGAAAGCCCTAGACAAGCACTAGTTTACTTTTTGTCTCTATAAATTTGCCTACTCTGGACATTTTATATGACTGGACTCATATAATATGTGGTCTTTTGTGACTTACTTTCTTATTTAGCATAATGTTTTTGAGTTCCATCTATGTTTATTATGAACCAATACTTTGTATCTTTTTATTGCTGAGTAATATTCTGTTGTATGGATATATCACCTTTCATTTTTCCATTCATCAGTTGATGACATTTGGGTTGTTTCTACTTTTTGATTGTTATGAATAATGCTGCTATTAAGATTCATGTAAAAGTTTTTGTGTGGACATATATTTTCATTTGGGTATATACCTAGGAATGTATTTTCTGGATCATATTGTAACTCTGTGTTTAGCCATTTGAGGAACTGCAAGACTGTTTTCCAAAGTAGCCGCATCATTTTGCATTCCTACAAGCAGTGTATGAGGATTCCAGTTTCTTCACATCTTTGCCAATACTTGTTATTATCTATCTTTTTTATAAAAACTATCCTAGTGGACATAGAATAATATCTTATTGTGGTTTTTATTTATATTTCCTTGTTGGCTAATGATGTTGAATATCTTTTCATGTAGTTACCGGCTATTTGTGTACCTTCTGTGGAGAAATATCTACTCAGATTCTTTGCCCGTTTTTAAATTGGATTATTTGTCTTTTTGTTCATTATTGTTCATAGAAGTTCTTTATATATATATATACATATATATACACATATACATATAGTTTTTTTTCTAGATACAAATCCCTTATCAGATGTATTATTTGCAGTAATTTTTTCCCATTTGGTGGGTTGTCTTTTCACTTTCTTGATGGTATCCTCTGAAGCTCAAAAATTTTAAATTTTGATGGATTTCAGTTTATTCATTTTTTCTGTTATTGCTTGAGCTTTTGGTGTCATATCTAAGAAACCATTGCCTCATTGAAGGTCATCCAGATTTACGCCTATGTTTTCTTCTCAGAGTTTAGTAGTTTTAGCTCTTACATTTCGGTCTTTGGTTCATTTTTTGTTAATTTTTCTCTGTGCTGTGAGGTAGGGGTTCAACTTTATTCTTTTGCATGTAAATATCCAGTTGTCCCAACATCATTTTTTTTAAAGCCTATTCTTTCCCCCATTGAATTATCTTGACACCTGTGTCAAACATCATTTCACTATAAATGTTAGGATTTATTTCTGGACTTTCAGTTCTGTTTCGTTCATCTATATGTCTGTTCTTGGGCCAGTACTACACTGTCTTGATTGCTGTAGCTTTGTAGTAAGTTTTGAAATCAGCAAATGTTAGTCTTCCAACTTTGTTTTTCTTTTCAAGATTTTTTTGGCTAATCTGAGTCCCTTGGATTTCCATATGAATTTTAAGATCATCTTGGCCAATTTCTGCAAATAAGACAGTTGGAATTTTGATAGGTTTATTTCTTTCATAAGTAGATATAGCATTGGTATTAAGAAAAGAAACAATATTTATAAATAATAATTTATTTAGAGTAATTTCTTGGATTTTCTCTTTTCTTTTGAAAAATATGTGAAATTCTTCTCAGGCTGCTCCAAAATTATTTAAATGGTATTTTCATTACCTTCATCTTAAGGTGAAATTCTTACTCTAGTTCTTTCCCCCTAATTGCTTAAATAAGGAGCCCTCGTGGTGAAAAGTTTAAGCGTTTGACTGCTAACCAAAAGGTTGGCGGTTTGAGCTCACCAGTGGCTGCACAAGAGAAAAACCTGGCAAGCTGCTGCCGTAAAGATTACTACCACTGGCATTGAGTTGATTCTGACTCATAGTGACTCTATAGGACAGAGTAGAACTGCCCCATCGGGTTTCCAAAAACAGAACTGCCCCATAGGGTTTCCAAGGCTATACATCTTTACAGAAGCAGACTGCCACATCTTTCTCCTGCAGAGCAGCTGGTGAGTTTGAACCGCTGACCTTCCTGGTTTGTAGCTGAGCGCTTTAACCACTGCACCACTGGGCTCCTTCAGTAAAGATTATAGCCTAGGAAACCCTATGGAGCATTTCTACTCTGTCGTATAGGGTCTCTATGAATTGGAATCGGCTCAACGGCACACAACAGCAAGAACGACAATTGCTAAGATACACACCAAGGAAAATAAATTTTATTTGCCCGGTGTGTGTTTACTTAACATACACCTGTAGTAGTTTTTCCTTTAATTAAATTAACTTCTTAGGTAACAGACTGAGAAAAATTCTATTGAGAGACCAAGCACTTAGGGGTTTGCCTAGTAAAAAACTGACAGACCTAACTGTTAGGTTGAATAGCAAAGTCTGCCTAAAGCTGTCATACTGCCAGGGATGTATCTTCACAGTCTTACTAAAATGAAATAAAAATGTACATCTATTACTTTAATTGTTTATTTTTAAGGATCATGTTATTCTAAACAATTTACCTTAAGTAAAAAATTTTTTAAATGCAGAGTTGACGGAAATCTACCAAATAAATTAAGCAGAATCCAACACATAATTATTTTGAATTGAAGTAAATAGGGTTATGTAAAAGTTTTAAGAAATTAACTTAGAGTTGAGAGAGTGCCTGGTGCACCAAGGCACTTTGTAAATAGTGGTTGAATAAAGGAACAAATGAAAGGAAGCCCCTACATGAATCATTGCTTTTAAAACTCAGGCACCTACCTTAGGGATGATTCTAGATAATCCCTTAATTCAAAAAGATAAATCCGCTTTCAGGGTAGATTGTTTTTCAGAGTTTTCAGTTTTCTTAAAGGATAACCTGAGAGTTTCTCATTTTTACAGAGTTTATGTCATGGTTGGTGCCGATGTCCCATTTTCTTCCTGTTTACGAGAAGTTGAAAATCCACAGAACCAACTGAGATGCAGTCAAGAAATGGAGCCTGTAATAACATGTGATAAAAAATTTCGTACTCAATTTTACATTGACTGGTGCAAAATTTCATTGGTGAGATTTTTGTTTTAGTTTGTTTTTTCAAATGTAATTAGGAGTGATGTGGCTGGAGATAAAGTTTGACTGAAACCTGGATTGCTTTTAGGGACAAATCCTGGGTTTACTTTGTTAACTGCAATTGACTTGCCTTGACTTTAAGGATTTGGGCAGCTCCTTGACACAGCACTCATTTAGGAAAGAGTATCTCCACTTTTGTACTCACTCTACCCTTGATTAGTTCCTGGGGCTAGATTAGCTTGGCAGGTGGTCCAGATGGACCCCTGGATATCCAGGTGGCTCCTAAATCAGGGAGATTATGGAGTCAATGTGACATCTGCAAAATGTCTCCTCTTAAATATGCTACCACTACTCCACTTTGGAAGGAGAGACCAGAGTACGGTAATAAATCTGAAAAAAGCAATATTGTGCTATGATTCAGTATCCTGGGAACTCAAATTGTAGGGAAAGTTTAAGGGAGAACAAACATTTCCAAATAGGGAAATTCAGAATCTTACAACCTTAAGCATAAATTCATAAAAATTGAATATTAGATTCTAAACCACTTTTTAAATTTGTATGCTAAAAGACTTAGGAAAAAGTGAGTAAGGTTTCATAGATATATATTGTATATATATATAAAATATCTAGTCTGCACACACGGGGTCATCATGAGTTGGAATCAACTTTGACAGCAACTAACAACAACAAATATAAATGTATACTGTATTATTATTACATTATTTATCAATATATATATAATATTTTGATCCTGCTATCGAGAAGGCAGGGAAGTTGTTTTACTTCTGTAGTGACCTTTAGATTTAACTTCTGTCAGCTCTTGATGATTGGTGGTGAGTGAATTAGATCTAAGTTTAAAGTTGACATTTAAACAGTTATTGACACATAAACACAACTGTCACTTCATGTCTTAGGGAGCCAACCGCAGGGATCTTTCCAGGATCCTATACTGGAGAACATGTTACTCACATTGCAGCATTTAGCACACCCTGTGGCCTTGTGTCCTGGATGCCTTTTCATGCCCCTTGTGTCTTAGGAAAATAATGCTTTCTTTGCCGTCTTAAATGAAATAAAATAAATTGTTGTGTTTTATGTGTATTATAGACAAATGTTAGAGTTACAAAGCTCAATATTTCTGACACAGTGCTCATTGTATTGGGGTGCAAAAGACTGAACAGCTGCAGACGTAACCTAAATCAAATCCTTGTTCCAGAGTTAGTAGACCAGCAGTCCCTAGCAACGCCATTTTACCTGTGGTTGGACTGTAAAATGAATTTATGTTTAGGAATATTATCTACTTTCTAAAAGTTTAAAAATTATGCCTTAAAGATTTTAGTTTATGGGGGAAGTACTTTATAAATTTTCACTTTTTATTATATGTATGTTTATATTCCTTATCTGACCACAAAAGGTTTCCAGAGGTGTAAACAAAAAAGTCATACCACAAACACAATTTGACAACAAGCCTCCTAATGTCCAGAATAAAAAGGGAGAAATTAATCAGTTATTTAGTTCTCATTCCTTAAAAGGAGTCAGAGTATCCATTCCTTGGCAGAAAGTAAAATTTCTTACTAGTGTTGAATTATTAACAACATTCTTCAAGTGGATTTTTTTGGGAGAGGATACTGAATAATGCCACAAATAATGTTCACCCCGTTTTTTTAAATAGCAAATGTAGTAAATTTCACAGGGCTACATTTTATTTAGTGATCTTCTATATAAACCTTAGCATAATTAAATGCACCTTAGTGAAAGCAGTTCAGTTAATATGGAGATAACCTGGTGCTAGTATTTTGCATTTTTTATCCAGTGATAGAATTTAGTAATATTAGAGCATTCCGTAGGTTGTATGTTCCTTAAATTATCTTTTCTAAAATTTACTTCTGGATGGGAGAAAGATCAAGGCTGTACTCATTTGGAAAATTTGGAAATTGCCCTTCTTTTTTGCCTTTCCTTTTTCATTAACCTTAGACACCATACTGGTTATCAGCCAGTTTATGGTTCCCTAGAGATGGTCATTAGTAAACAAGAAATTTATATGGTAATGTGAAGGACTTCTGATTTGGAGAAAGGAAACTGAAGAAGAACAATTATTTATTGTAGTGTATATATATGTAAACATATATATATATATGTTTATATGTACACACACATATATATGTGTATATATGTATATATATGTATATGGCACGGTGGTTAAGCACTCAGCTGCTAATCAAAAGGTCAGTGATTCGAACCTACCAGCCGCTCTGCAGGAGAAAGATGTGGCAGTCTTTCAGTCAAGATTTACAGCCTTGGAAACCCTATGGGGCAGTTCTACTCTGTCCTATAGGGTCACTATTAGTCAGAATCGACTCAATGGCAACAGGTTTGGTTTTGGTTTTTTTAAATGTATATGTGTTGTTGTTGTTGTGTGCTGTCAAGTCAATTCTGACTCATAGAGACCCTATATGACAGGGTAGGACTGCCCCTTAATTTCCTAGGCTGTAATCTTTATGGGAGCAGATCACCAGGTCTTTTCTCCTGCGGAGCAGCTGGTAGGTTCGAACCCCCACCTTTCAGTTAGCAGCTGAGCACTTAACCATTGCACCACCAGGGCACTGGTGCTCACTTGTGTGCACGCTCACTATATATACACATACATATGTACATACATATATGTTATGTGTGTACATATGTATATATGTGGTGGGAAGAACATAGAAAGTAGGTCAGGATAAAGCTTTATACTACTTTTATCCATTACCTCTTCCTAACTCCAATAAATTTAATTGCAAATTCAAGGTGATAAAGTAATTGGAAAAGATTGCTTTTTAGCAATTTATAAAAATATATTTTGGTATGTCTAGTTCATAAAATCTCATAATGTTTAAAGCTATTAATTTGACGTGTAATTGTCTTCTTTTGTATCAGGTTGATAAAACAAAGCAAGTGTCCACCTATCAGGAAGTGATTCGTGGAGAGGGGATTTTACCTGATGGTGGAGAATACAAACCCCCTTCTGATTCTTTGAAAAGCAGAGACTATTACACGGATTTCCTAATTACACTGGCTGTGCCCTCGGCAGTAGCACTGGTCCTTTTTCTAATGCTTGCTTATATCATGTGCTGCCGACGGGAAGGAGTGTGAGTACTTTAAAACGCTAATAAGAAATTATAGAACCCACTAAGATAACAGCATATAAGATTCCATTAAATGCAAAGTTTCATTTAGTTCATAAAATGTTTTATAAATGAGTTGAGATTGTGTTAAAGTCAAATTACAGTACTTTATTCCTTCAAAAAGAGTTAAAATAGTTTTGAGTCTGGAAAATCAAATTAGGAGACATAATTACTTTTCTCAAAAATTATTAAGGCTAAACATAAATTCATGCTGTCAAAACAGTCCCAAGGATAAATGAGGCTAGATATTTCGGTTATACAAGCCATCTTGTGGGAGCAGAGACTGTAGAATCTATAGACGTGGTAATTGCACTTTAAATGAATAAATTGTTTAGTCTGTTTGCTCAGAAATGATGATCAGAATTCTTTTTGAAATGGTTCTGCTGTCAAACAGGATTGACACAATCTAAATGTCTAAAATATTAAAATTAAAAAATAAATCTTAGGAGTAAATTAATGAAAATAAGGATATAATTAAAGTAATGAGTCTTCACTTCATGAGTAGTTAGTACTTTCAGGACATCTATGTCAATTAAAATAACCTCCCGAGATTATCCGAAAGTCAGGGTAATCAAACCAAAGGGGAAAAAAATTAATAAAGCAGCAAGTAACAAATTCTTCCATTTTTACATGTAACCTGATTTCATGATGTCATAGAATTTATTTCAAGCAGGAGCTTGATTCTTAACCTCCGTTTTTTTCATTTTTCTGTGTGTTTCTCATCAGTATCCCATCTCTATGTGTACTCATCCAAGAAATGTCATAAATCTGGTGGCAAATGCTGCCTGTTTGCATTTAATAGTAACAATGTCAGCATTTCCACATCATGCAAGATCCCATGAGCATATAGTCTTAATGTTCCAAATATCAATGCTATTATTTAATTCATAAATTTTGTTTTGTTTCTAGGGAAAAGAGAAACATGCAAACACCAGAGTAAGTGTCTTCTTTCCTGTTATTTTATCCTTTTTTTTCATTTCTCAGTTGCATATCATGTTCAATACATGTGTGTCATGCTTTTTGTTTTTCCATCTATCATGTTTCATAATTTGTTTCATAAATGTGAACGCTGCTTTCTAAATAGATAAATTTAGAGGGGTAGAAACTAAAAATAAAAAGGGTTTGAAAATTAAAATTACATAGATAAAAATTAAACCTAAACTATTTCAGAACCAGAATATTAACTTGCCATTTATATTATGTGATTTCCCAATCTGCATTTCTATAAACCAGAAAACAGATGAAAAGACCTTTCATACAAGTTTTCCTGAATCTACAGTAATAACCTACCATAAAATGAAACTTCTGTGAGTATTTATAAATGCCCCAACCAGAAGCAACAATATAAAAACTGCAGTAGATTTATCTTAATCGTAGAATTAAATAGAATACTAGTTTATTACTTAGGGCTATAATATTAACACAAGCTTCATAGCCTAGTTTAATGAAAGATATATTTATTTTAAAATTAGTTTATAATTTTCAGTTTTTCTGTGTTAAAGCTATGTGAAATGTATCTCTTTCTGAAATAACATGTAGAATGCCCAAAGTGCAATAATGTCTTATTATTAAAAAAAATAATTTCCATAACTTTTTCAAATTGATAACTCATCCAGGCTGATATATGATTTTAAATATATATTATTTTGTTTCTTTTTCACCTAGTATCCAATTGGTCCATCACAGTGCTATTCAGAAGTCTACCAAAGAGCTTCGTGACATGTCCCAGAATAGAGAGATAGCATGGCCGCTGTCGACGCTTCCTGTGTTTCACCCTGTAACTGGGGAAATCATACCTCCTCTACACACAGACAGTTACGATAGCACTCACATGCCGTTGATGCAAACGCAGCAGTAAGTATCCTCTTGGAACCATAATTATGAGTATGCATGTATATTTTTACTTAATGTCTTTGAAGACCAGAGCTTTTTGTTCTTGTTTTTGTTTGTGTATAACTGGAAAAGAAAATACCAAGAGGCCATTGATACTGTAGGTCCCAAAGCCACTGTGCTGAAACAAGTACAATAGACTTATTTTCAGGAAATGCTTTTTTTTTTTCCAGATTTCATGAAATTAAAAAATTGGAATGTTTTTCTTCAGTTGTCCAAAGAAGACCTCTTTTGCCTTAATATTTAAGAAATTCATACTGATTATAAACTAACAAAATGTAGCTCAAAGATGAGTTAATTGTGAAAAGAGAAGCATATTCTAAAGCGTGACAAATTTATTATTTTTTAGAGATGTTATTAGAATTATTTGGTTTTAATTAACCAATTTTTTTTATTATCCTGAACCAAAAAACCAAACCTGTTGCCGTTGAGTCAATTCTGACTCATAGCAACCCTGTAGGACAGAGTAGAGTGGCCCCATAGAGTTTCTAAGGAGTAGCTGATGGATTCAAACTTTTTGCTGACATTTTGGTTGGCAGCCAGGCTCTTAAACATTGTGCCACCAGGCCTCCATTTTATTACCCCAGACCTTTTTAATTTTTTACCTTTGGATAAAAAGTTTTTAGGTTGCTTTTTGTGATCTGTTTGTATATCAAAACAGGCAGTTTGAATTTTGATTATAAACACATTTTATTGGTGCAGATCTTTTCTGTAGTGCTAGCCTGGAAGAGGCCTGTGTAAGAGCGGTTAAGGGGGTGGGTAGAGGAACTTGCAGAGTGGTGCTTGAGGACCTGTGTGATATGCCTAGAAGCTAGGTTTTGGTATAAGAAGATGGTAGGTAGAACTATCATTTATTTTTAAGAACATGGCTCTTTTTTAATTTTTTAACCATACGTAAAAATGAACTGATTCAGTTGTCAGAAGAACTAGGGGCCACACAGTTTTCTTTGGAGGTCCTCCTCTTTCTCACTTTGCCTTTGTAAATAGAATGGATATCATACAGAAAAAGTTTCTCTTTTTCCTCCTCTCCCTGTCCCAGCCTGCTTTCTTTCTTCACTCTCAAACACACACATATATAACCTTAGGGTATAATATTCTTACTGATTAAAAAATTATCTGGAATCTATGCTGGGTGCAAACATTTTCTCATTGAGAATGCTTATTTTGGTAATTTGAAGATTAAATAATGATTAATTTGAGTAGTATAAATAGTATGGAGCCCTGGTGGCACAGTGGTTAAGAGCTCAGCTGTTAACCAAAAGGTCAGCAGTTCAAATACACCAGCTGCTCCTTGAAAACCCTATGGGGAAGTTCTACTCTGTCCTATAGGGTCACTGTGAGTCAGAATCGACTCGATGGCAGCGGGTTTGTTTTTTTTTTTTTTTTTTGATATAGACAGTCAGACTAGATAAATTTGTCTGAAATTCTTTGGAAATCCAAAAGTATTATGAGTATTTTTCTGAAGTCCTGTAACATCATTTACATAGTGTTGAGTGAGCCAAGGTGGTGTTTATGTGTGCATGCATGTGCATGTATGTGTGAGTAATTAATTCAGATCCTGTTAACGGTGGGGATAATTATATCCAATTAAAATTTTGAATTTGGGAACATCAATACTGTATCAAAGATAGAAATATTAAAGTCTCTCAAAATTTAGTTTTACTGAACGGCAAGGATGGATTTCTGTGTTCTTGTTATGGGTCATTATAAAACTCACTTTAACAGGATTAGATACTGATGAAGAAAAAAAAATTATGACTATCATAACAATTCACAATTTAGCAATCTCCTGTCTTTTTTAGATGAAATTTGTAAGTAGCCTTATCATTCATTTTCAAAATGAAAAGAATTTGTACTTATTCTTTTTTAATTTTATTTTGTTGTTGTTATAATTTGTACATATTATTTAAGTCTAGCATTTCTTATAGTTTTCCCTCGAATGCTAGTATTCTCTGAAATGTTGAGAGTCTTCAAAAAAAATAATGGTCAAATACATTTGAGAGACAGGCTTTCTTTTTTAAGCTACAGGAGTTCTCAGAGCCTTTAGTGTGTTGATATATTTTGTGAATCCATGGAAGAAAGCTAGATTACATCTCTCTTCAAAGAACACAGTTTGAGAAATGTTTCTATTGCTAAAGTAACAATGCTGTAAAATTTTAGGATACAAAAGTATCTATTAGAATGAGTAGGAGAACTTGAATATGTTTGTAAATCAGTGAAACTCTATTGCTGGTGAAGTTTAAGAGAGGAAAAAAGGCTACTGTCATTTTTTAGATGTTTTCCAACCATAGATATTAAGAATAAGATTAGCTCTTTAAAAATTACTTTGATTTTCTGTGGTTAGGATTTTGCGTTGTTGCTACTAATATACAAGCAAAATAAAATTTCCTATCTAGTTTACAACCAAGCGCGTTTTCCTGCTCCTGTCATAACCCCATCAAGACCGTCATTATGTTGATCAGATCTATTTGCAAATGCAATAGGTTAAGTTATTGAACTTGCAACAGTTTGACCGTATACGTATTTTTAAGTCCAGAAAACCTTAATATTATTCAGATTTCTGCTAATGTAAAAACTCCATTAACTAGCACTTCTGTATAAATAGGGTACATAGATAATTGATGATGTTCACAATGATTATTCTGAGGCACTGCAAGATCATCAAGTATATCTGACTCATCAGAGGAAAATTAAATTACATTCGATGTAGTTTCAGTGTTGAGTGTATATTATCTTTCTTTTATTCTTGGAAATGGATAATATGTTCACGGTCTCTATGGTAACTCCCTATAAGCCACAATATGTGATTAACCTCATTTTTCAACCATGCCCAGTAATAGGGAATTTATTGTATTGAGTTTGTCACAGCTATCCTTTATGAAAATTCTGCTTTTACTCTTTACTTAAAAACATAGCCTGTTTTTTAAAGTTTCACTTCCGCATCAAGTAGACATATATATAAATATTTTGGTCATTTGGATTGAACTGAATTATCAACATTAAAATGAGATATTATACTTCATGAGGCAGGACAGTACTTGATGACCAGGTATATGCTTCTTTGTATTTATTAATTAACCCTTTCTAAAAGGGCATGTATGTCATCTTTACATATTTGTAGTAAGTATACTGAATTTATCATTCAAAAACAATTTGACTAGCTACAGGATTTCATATTCATTCTTCAGACATGACATCATAAATATTCAGGCATAAGGATATAGCTAAAGGTTTATTTTAGAGGCAAAGCAAGTCTCAAGTTTAAAGTTTTGCTTCAAAGCAGCATCGAAAATGATGTGATCTTTTAAACAAGTTGATCCACCTCAGACGTATAGAGAACTCTAACAGTTGTACAAGGAGCCCTGGTGGTGCAATGGTTAAGCTCTTGGCTGCTAACTAAAAGGTCAACGATTTGAACCCACCAGTGCTCCGTGGGAGAAAAGACCTGACGATCTACTCCCATAAAGATTACAGGCTAGGCAACCCTATGGGGCAGTTCTATCCTGTCACAGTGGGTCGATAGGAGTCAGAATCAACTGGAAGGCACACCACCACAACAGTTGTGCAACAAGGGGTTACCACAGTTATTTATCAAGCATACAGTAACATTTTCTTTTTTGTAGACTGCTTCATAGGACTCCAACTAGCACTAGAAATTAGCCAGTAAAAAATGTTTAATCATTTGCAGTTGATAAAGTTGAGACACTGTAAGAGACAAAACTACATTAGTTCAGAACTGAGATTAGGTTATTTACCTATCCTTATATTTGGTCAGGGATAGATAATGCAGTCATTGACCTCAGAAGTATTTCTGATCCAGGTAACAGGCAAGGTGATTTAAGAGATAGTAGAAAGGGAAACCGGAGCAGAACTAGCTGGCTGATGTAGCACGTGCTCAGAAAGGAAGGTTTTCATTTAATAGAGTGGTCCTTCTACTTTTCAGATTACAGAGACAATATAAACAGGCTGTTAGAATTATTATGTAGTTTAGAAACTTAAGATAAACTTAATTTGATTTCTTTGCTAACGTATCTTTCTAATAAGCTTTTTAAATTTTGGAATGATTTTAGAGGTACAGAAAAGTTGCGCAGATAATACAAAGAATTCCCAGAAACTCCTCACCCAAGTTCTCCCATTATTGACATCTCACATTACCATGGTACATTTCTCACAACTAACAAACCAGCATTGGTGTGTTACTATTAACCAAACTCCAGACTTTTTTCAGATTCAACTAGTTTTTCCACTCATATTCTTTTTGTGTTTCAGGATTCAGTCTAGAGTACATCATTGCATTTAATGTCTCCTTAGTCTCCTCTGCTCTGGGACAATTTCTTAAACTTTCCTGTTTCCCATGACATGGAGAGTCTTGAGGAGTACTGGCCAGGTATTTTGTAGAATGTTCTTCAGTCTCTGGTACAGTTAGACTTTCTGTGTCTGTACTTAATCAGTTATCTTTGTAGTTCAGTGAATAAATTTTTAACAGCTGCTAATAATAGGAAGAATTTTTTCCTCTATAGGCAGTCCTCTTATTTATTATAATTTATTTTTGGAAATCATATCATGAAGTAATTCTCAAAGTAAATTGGTTTTGCCCATTGTTCTATTTGGGAGTTATGTTTATGACCAAAGGATTAACATCAAGAATATATCATAGATTTGACTGATACACTTCAGATACAAACCTTTGCACTTAAATTAAAAAATTATTTTCCAAGTCACCGAATTTTAAGACCTACAAGGAATGTTGAGAGAGAGTCTAGCCTAAAAAACCAAAAACCAAACCCATTGCCATTGAGTTGATTCCGACCCACAGCAACTCAAGAGGACATAGTAGAACTGCCCCATAGGATTTCCAAGGAGCAGCTAGTGGATTTGAACTGCTGACCTTTTGGTTAGCAGTCGTATCACTTAACTACTGTGCCACCAGGGCTTCTAGTCTAGCCTAGTCCATCCCAAACCAA